GTTACAACAAAACCAACAACCCCCTATTTCCCCCCCCCCCCCCCCCAAAGATGACCTAAAGTTGTATTTACAGTTACGCAGCTCCATACACTATTCATCACAAAAGTGGGGGGTGGGGGGGAGGAAGGAGGAGAGATGGGGGAAATGTGTTATGGGATCAGAATTCAAAGTTTAAGATCCTGTTATGTACAGCTGGACACCCATCCACCATTTCTGATACAGGTCTACCGTATGTTCAAATAGGTCTGTCAAAGATTTCCAGCTAGAAACAACTACCCTGTTTCTGCAAGCTACGCCAAGACCCTTGCATGGAAAGCAAAACTAAACCCCAATTCAAAATGGAAGTAGGAAGTCCACATGTTATCATCAACAACATTCTCCATAGTCCAAATGTGCTGTGATGGAATGAGCACAGCAGCTTCATGTCAACAGCCATTTTGGGTAGTATCTTCAAGTGCAAAATATCTCTACAGTTACAGCCTTGTACCACACAGAGAATAAGAGTTTTACTACACAATATTCGGAGCTGTGACTGTGCTATTATTGACCAACATTGGTCTTACCTATTTACAGGTCATAGGATTGTTTATATATAGCCTGTTTATGCCACTGACCTTAAAAAACAAGAATGCGAAAATGGCCACATGAAATCATTTTCTATGCAGAAGCTTTTCAGGAGGCACAAGATGGGCAGAACGTTGTTTTTTTTTTTTTTCCTCAACATTGCTTCAGTCCCCCATGCAGATGGCAGATTTTGCACCAAGGAACAGAAGAGGGAGTGCTGAAGAAAAGAGGAGATAAAGTGCATGGCTCTAGTTTTCATTGCTTTCCAGAGCTCCGAAGGGACCAGGGGAATTGGGATATAAACTGGCTGTTTGACTTACACTGGTGATCAGGCAGGGAACAGGTGGCCCTTGTATGTCTTAACCAAAAATATCACTTACAATAACCTTAATCCTTATTTTTCCCCTGAGTACTACGGATGGAGAAAAGAGCTGAGGCCAGTCTTTCAAAATCAGCCACAGCAATGCTACAGGGAAGAGGGAACACCAGCTTTTCTCCCAGACATATGAACCACCAGAAGTCTCGCAGTCCCTGATTACTTCCTCTCCACTCTGTGCCCCAAGCCTTGCAGTGCATGAATCTGATTTTGACTGGTAAGACTTCAAGCTAGAACAGAAGGTAGTCTCCTGTAAAAAGTCAAGCAATGATTAAAAAATAACCCACTACTATCTTTCAACAGAGTTTGGAACAATTATCCACAAAAAATATATGAAGCTGGAAATTTGATCTGGTTTGCCCTATGGGTTTGGGCTTTATTTTGTTGTTGTTTTGTTTTGACTATCGTAAGGGAAGTTTATAACTGTTTGGAAACATGTAAGTCATACCCATGTTTGTAATTTCCTAGTTGTCCTGTAGCCTTTTTGAAAAGAAGCATCAGATAAAGTATGTCACAAATCTCTAGAAAACGGCTGACTTACGTGGTAAGATGCAAGAAGTTTCTTTAGATGTTTTGCGTGAGTTGCACATTTACAATGTGGCCCTTACCCCTGTAGTTATGTAGATTTATTCTCATCCCCTTTCCTATCAAACCACTTCCGTATCAGCTGTTCCTCAGGACAGTCCCCAACAATTGGCTCCAACAGGGAAAAGTCGTTGAGCCCCTTCAGAAGGAGCATCGCAAATGTAGTACTTTTGAGCTTTTCAGCTATAGACTTGTCCTTCTATAGCAGTCAGTAATATATTGGCTCCATCAACTTGCTGGAAAACTTCCTGCTTCTGATGTATTTGAAAAAAAAAAAAAAAAGTTTTTATTGTTAGATTTTGCGCACTTGCTTCTCAGAATCTTTTTTGGCTGACTTTATTATAGCTTCACGTTTAGCTTGCCAGAAGTTTTAGTTTTATTACCTTTTCTATGTTCTTCATTTGGACTTCAACTTGTTGAAGGTTGTCTTTTTTTACTTCTAATAACCTCTTTAGTTTGTTTTTAGCTATACTGGCTTCTTTCTCATCCTCAGTTCTCTTAAAATTCAGGAGTATCGGACCAGACTCCAAACACTCTTTCTGAAAATGTCAAAAGAAACAGAAAAAAATTACCCAACTTCTTGAAAGGTACCAGAATTATTATTTTTTTTAAATTGTTTGAAACTGAAAAGCTTGCCCACCCTGTAGGAGAAAACCAAGGTTCAAAGTAACTTTCTCCCTCTTAGATCCCCCCTAAAGTCATCATAGTTTTCCAGGATGAAAATAGAAGCATCTGAAAAGCTGATGGAGAATACCTTTCATGTGGGGAACCCCAGGAGGCAGAAAGATTTAGGTATGAGATTAAGTTCTTCAATATGCAAAAAATCTACTTGCAGGTCTAAAAGGTTTAATCAGATCTGAAGACGTGATGCCAGTTCAAAGAATTTAACATGAGCACACACTGCAGTGCTTGGGAAAAAAATACTGTGATGTTGATAATGCAATAAGCTCTGAAGTGAATAACTCTCAAAGCACATGCATGGAGCTAGCAAAGATTGTGCCCTTAAAACAGTGGTTGAGAGGGAATGTGTGATTTAGTAAATCAGTCAAGCAGAGAGCTTTCATCTTTGGAGTCCTAGTTTATAACTTACTCAAGGCGTTAATTATAAGTGTCTTGGGTATCCATCCCTCACTTAATTAATCTCCACACTTATGTGAAGTGTGAATCCAGATCATAACCAGAAGCTCTTCCTGCACAACGGCTTCATCTGCCTGGATGAGAAGGAAAGCCACTTCAGGATCCAGGCGCAGTGGAGAGAAAACACATACATACCTGAAGACGTATAAATACTTGTGCACCAGCCATGGTAGAAGATTTCACTTTTTCACCCAGCAGTAATCTTCTGAGTCTGCAGATCCTCAGAATTACTGCATAGTGTAAATTCCCAACAAAGAAGGTTTTGCAGGATTTAGTGTTATTCTGCAGGCTTTTCTTAGGAGGTTACATTAGCTGATGCCAATTCGTATGGTGGCTAGACCTGTATTATTATCCAAGTGAGACAGGTTAAAGCTAGTGTGGATATCTACGTTATCGTTGTATGACTGTAGAGTAGACATACCTATAACTTTATGGTGTGTGGTCCATCATTATGCAGTAGTGTTAAATTTCTGATTCAAAGAATGTTGTCCATTGAAACGTCATTGATTTCAAAAAAGGGAAGCTGAAAGCAATAAGAAACATTACATGAAGACAAAGGAGAACACAGATAGAGGAAGAAACAGGTAACAAAAAGAGAAATAGGTGTTAGAGAGAAAAAATATAAAAAGCGGCAGACACGTCAAAGGCAATTAGATTGACTTAAATGTTTCAAAACCATTTCCTCATAAATGTACTTTTATCTTTAATGTACTTTTCTCATAAAGTACATTAAATGTAGAAACACTTAGCAAACATGGTTTGTTTCACTGCACTACACAAACCATTTGCTAATTAAAACTAAATAAATCAAAACTTATGTTTCTGTGCACATGCTGGTCTTCTTACCTGTGTAACTTGATTTTTAAAGATTTTTGTTGTCTTCTAGTGATGAGTTCATATAGAATAAAGCATCTATGGATTAAAAAAAAAAAGACCAAAAGCTTTTTATCTTACCATTGTTCTTTTCAATCAACTGCAGCATGAACATTTTTCATGTAATTAGCTTTGTACATGTGATAAAGATATAATTTTATAATGGACTCGTCAGGTTATGAGAGCTTCTATGGGTAGCATTTATGCAATCTGTTCATCATTGAAAAGGTAGACACGAATGCACATTATTGCAAAGCATTATTAGCCTCTATAAGAACATTTAAACATTAGATGGTAGTACTTATTTTAGTTTTTAAAGGTTCTTCTGGTTTATTCTATGCACAGTCAATCTTAAATTAAGATTACAGTTAACTGAAGCATCACAGCTATGTCTGTGTCACTGCTTCAATTTGGAAACTCACTTGTGTCTATCTTCTAGAGTACTACAAAACAAAAGTGTTCAGAATTTAAAATCTTGTAGATCAAGGATTATTATATGGAATATTTGAATTCCCCTACTCCCCCCCAAAAGGTCAAATGATATTTCTCAGATAGTACAATCTTTGTCTACAAATAATTTAATTTGGCTCTGCAACTCCAGGTAATGGTCATTCTTGATGAATAATCACAAGTTTAACACCCTCAGTCCAGCTTCACTTGTGCTTAATATTTGCACAGGATAAAGTGTAGTTAAGTAACTGACTAACATAAGAAAATATGGCTATTTAATTAAACTATGAATAATTTTATCATGAAGACTTTTCCCTGACTGAAACTGCGCTCTTCCTATTTACAGTGAAACTATAGTTCAACTACTTTTATTCTAATAGAGGATAAGCCACCATTTCCACCTTTTGAGCAGAACCAAATGTGTTACAGAGGCATCTGTTTATAATTGTCAAAGGTCTGGCTTTGCAGCAAGTGTAAAAATCACCAATAACTAACATACCTACAAATTCCAGTCACCTTTTTTATATAGAAACAAGCCGGTCAGTGATACAGAAGTCCAGTGTAGAAAAAAGGCAATGGGTTAGCCACCAGGGACCTGGGTAGAGCCCATCAGATAACCTAGAAGAAATTTATTTTGCAGTAATACAATTATTATTTAAACACATAAAATATATGTCTGCCATATCACCCTCAAGGTTGTTGAAAAAAACCTTGGAAACACACTGCTTAATAGCTTAGGGCTGGATAGTATAAAATAGATAGCAGCTCTTTTTATGTAATTTAGAACTTCCAATTTGGGGTTGATTTTCTAGCTTTTAGGGACTAGCTTTTTAGCTGTGAGAACTTGAGAATGCTGTCATTTTTATCTCCTTTTTCCCAGACTAAGGTAACCAAAACCTAGCTTTCTATATCTAATTTATTCTCATTGCTGTAAGCTCCATGCATGCATACACATATAGAGGATCATAACTTCATCTAGCTGTTATGGACCCAAAGTGCTTCAGAGGAACAATTTGAAACATCATTACCTTTAAGACTGTTTTCAATGCAAAACCATAAAGTTCCAGCTGTGTTGTTGTAAAAATTACAAAGCTAAAGTGAAGTTCAATTTTATTTTGTTTGGAACCCAATGGGCAATCTTTGCTACAGAAATGAACTAGATGAAGGATCGTAAATTCATAGCTCTTGAGCCTCTTGTGGTTTACCAACAATTCAGGTGTGGCTCAAGCACTCAGACAAAGTCACACCACAGCAGCAGTGTCATGGTGGTGCCAGCCCTATGGCAATGCACATACCCAGCAAGATGATGGAGCAATCTAATGGGGAACGTCTACTCAATTCATTGGTTCATCCCCACCATTAGGAGATGGAGGTAGCTCCTTCAGAGCACTGCTGATACTTCCCACATGACAAATATTTCCTGGAGCACTCTTCCCAAGTTTGGCCTTCTGAATCTCAGTTCCTTCAAAATTTTCTAATAGTACTCCTAACATCAAGAAAGTTGTTTGCTCCACCACTGGATATGTCTGGTTTGCTTTTTTTTTTTGACCCCTCAGTCAAGTAAAAGTCATATATCAGCAGGGATCTTGCTTGACATGAAAAGGTATTATGTCTGCAAAAAGCATTCGTTCCTTAAGAAAAAAAAAAAGACACAGAGTATACTAAGACTGTGTTTTCTGCCCTGACTCCAAGTGTGAAGACTCTGCTGGTCAGATTGCTACAGGGACTTAGGAGGCTGTATGGAATAAGTGGGACACAAGGAGATAAAACACTTTTATCACTTAATCTGGAAAGCTAACATGACTTCCCCTTCTATATGGGGAAAACAAAAAGGAGACACTCTTAACAAATAAAACCTTCATTCAAATACTCAAAAAAAGAAGTGAGAATATTTTTTTCCACTTAAATGGATTATATTGAAGTATCACTCACCAAAATATGTTTCAAATAGTTTATACAGTCCATCCAAAACATGGTCAAAAATTCCACAGTCTTAATGAACTTTTTTTTGTTGTTTTTTGAGTCTACTCATCTGCCTGTTTTGTTGGGGGACCATGAGGCAGGCAGATGAATGTAATCCTGCAAGGAGTTTGGTAGGGGTCGCAGCTTAAATAAGAGCCATGACTGTGTAAATAGTTTGACAATCATTTCAACTGCATTGCTGCCTGACAGGGATAGATATCTGATGGCCTTATTTCCATATGAGAACAGGAGATATTTTAATAACCACACCATTTTTCACCAGCAGGCTATGAATATTCAATAAAAAATATTTCCTAAAGTATCTTATCGTGGCCTTCTTTCCTTCCAAATGAAATTTAAAAGAAAATGAGGAAAAAGTCACAGCTGTTTGCTGTACTTATCCATTTACTAACTTACTTGCTGTTGTTTTGTGTAATACTACAACTATTCAATAATCACAAGAAATCCTGGATTGCAAATACCTTATTTCACATCTTCAGTTCTGCTCTAAATACTTATCCTTAGGTATTTTAAAGATGCCCAGAAAGTAGTAACCACCGCTGCTGTATCTTTCATGTTAACCTCTTCTTCGTGGCTGTTTGACAGAGTATAAAAGACGGTGTAAATTGTACTAGCCTGACACCATAAAAAGCTTCAATAAAAAATTAATCAGAAAAAATTAATTTTATTCCTTTATCAGACTTGTAAGCAGAGAAACCAGTGATTGTAGGAGCACA